CTAACCACGGTCTTGCAGATGTTTCTCTGGTGTGTGTTGGACTTTAAGGACTTTAAGAAGGTCTTCAGTAGGATTTCTGTGTTAAACCCGGTCAGATTAGTAGGGCAGTCAAAAGGGAAATAGCACATACCAAGAAATCTCATTACTTTGGAGGTTACCAGTCTTCAGATGGACCAAACACTCTTAAAAACCAGCTGACAAAGCTGCCTGTGTCCCCTAGGCTAAGGAAAATAAATAGCACAGTGATACGTGCAGCCTGTTGGCCGAGGTGTGTTTAGGCATAAGAGAACCACGTGCATCTGCATCTGTGCAGACCTCACTGAGCACCCAGCTCTTCACTGGGGCTGTGGGCAGAGCCAGCCAAGCAGATGAGAAGGTGGCTTCCTTGCAGGCGTTTCTTGCAGAGTGTTACTCAGGAAAACACTCAGGGGTGGGGAGGGGAAGGGGAACAGGAAAGGCTGGAAGTGATTTTATTATTATTTCATTATAAAGGAGGTATGGGGGGGTGCATAATCTCCTGTGATGAGTGCAGCTTTCTGAGCTTGTTGCACGGCTTCACAACATCCATTCCAACAGTTATTGCAATTCACTCGAGACTGAAAAGTGGTTTTGCTACCCGTACTGTCCCCAGCTTGCTCTTTCAGACAACTGCAGTGTAGTTTTGCATGTAGTTCATACAAAAATAATCACTTTGAGCACAATCTGTTAACTATTCCCAGGTGAAGGGCTAGTTTATTTTTGCAAAGGTAGAGAAAACTGATTTTGTTCCAGCAGTTACTGTACTGGGATAACCCTTGTAAACACTTAGACTTTCAAGCTTGTTGCTTTGTGCTCGGTAACACAAGGAGGTTCTATTTAGAAAAGCCAAAATTGTGAAACTAGACTTTGCATGGAGAAAATATCACAGAGAAACAAGCCTTGATTGGGTGGTGCTTGCAGCTCAGCTCCTCTTCAGTGGTCATGGCTAGTATTAAAGCATCATTTTTGAAGAAATGTGAACACAAGGTAATAGTGCCAACTCTGCTAGTTTGCTCCTCCCTGAGGACAGACCTTCAGGGCTCAGGTAAGTGTTTCAGTGAAGCAGCCTGTTATCTTTTTGTAAGCAAATTCAGTTTGAGATTGGGCACACCGTTGCTTAAATTTCTGCAGTAATTCTTTTATGTGGTCCAAGGCACCTCCTTTTCGACGGCTTCCAAGTATTATAGGAGTAGGAGTGGATTTCTAACTTAATGGGGACTTGATTTTCATAGGCATGAGCATGTTGTTCTTGCTTTTGCCCATTACAGAAGAAGGCAAAATGAGTTGCAGGAGGTAATCTGAGCACCACTCTGTACAGGCTGCCACATACAGCTCCTGCACATTGATCATAGCCTCAAATTTTGGTATTTATCCTACAGATTTTGGCCTATGGGGGTGAGAAGCTCTATCTTGCCCTCTGTTTTTTAAAGCATTAAACAGGATCATTTGAGATGCCTTGAAATAACTGGTAATGGAAATTGCTAGCTTGAAAAAAAAAGTGGCTGGGAGCAAATTCTCACTTGAGCTGAGAAACTCTACATGTTTTGGAAACTTTGCACGTAGGAATAATAGCATGTTCTTTGGGGTTAGTTATACTTAATTGATACAATGACGAGATCACTTTCAGAGAAGATGCAAGGGACAGAATTTGCGCTGTTGGGCTGTGTGGTTTTTATTTTTATTTTATTTTTTTTTTTTAAGAGGGCTTTTGTGGAGATCCTAGATCAACTTTGAATTAGCACTGACCTTTCTGTATCGCCACTGTATTTGCTGCTATAACTAAAGCTCTGGCTGTCAGTGTCTGCTGGGTTCAGGGAATTTACTGATTCGAGAGATTATCTGTTTCCCTCTTAAAATTGGGCTGCTGTCCATTCCCATGATGTAGCTGTGGGGACAATTTAGGTGTTCAGAGCCAAGCGTGTGGAAGCAGTATCCTTCCGTAGGCTTGAAAAGTGCCAGTTCCAGCCAAGGGAGACCATCACCATGGCCGTTTTTCTATGAATGAAACCCCAACCCTATGCTACTCTTCTGATCCAAACAGCTCAAAGCGTTATATTTAATGCAGCTCTGCATTAAACAGTGCTCGTCACTCACTTTGCATAAGAAATTAGAACCATTATACACACACACACACACCCTTTACCTTTATTTTTTTCTCTCTTTCTGTGTTTTCTATGTTTTTTCACTGTGTTTTTCCGCGTGTAGAACAAAAGCACAAGTTGAGCCCCGTTTCCTGCCTCTTCTCAGCCTCTCGTGGCGCAGCGGAGGGGCAGGAGCCGCGCGGTGCTGGGCAGCCCGCGGGTGCTCACAAAGAAACCAGTGACTGCAACAGCTTCTGCTTCTCCTCAGTCTGGCGCTGGTTTTGGCTCTTGAATCTCAGTTCCTTTTGCATACATGAGTAAAAGACGCTTTGAGGAGGGGGAGAATATTTTGCTTTTTATAAAGGATCATGCATGCGTGGACTCTTTTTTCTGTCTTTTTTAATTTTTTTTTTTTCCCTTTCCTTGAAGCTTGCTTTTGGGGTGAATGTTTATGTAAAGTGTAGTGTTTCCTAGCGTCTTATTTTCAGACTTACGTAGATGAAATGCTTGTGGTCACTGTCGCTGGTTCACCACATGAAGGATGCTTAATAGCATGGGTGATGTTGTCAGTGGGAGGAGCTTGTCCAGGAAACTTTTGGGCAAAAAAAAAAATCTTTTTTTTTTAATAACACAGCAGCAACATCTCTTGCACATCCCTGTAGCCACGTGGGGCACGTTCACCCTTTCTGCTCTGTTCATCTGGAGCCTGTAACTCGTGCACGCAGCAGCCAGACAGCAACCCCTTCCCTTAGACTTTATTCTGCCTACCGTTTTGCAAGGCAAGAATGGGTTTTGTGCACTTGCTGGATATAGTGATGTGGGTTATTTTAACCCAGGTGTTCACGCTGCCTTGCAAAGCAGCCCAGAGAAACGGGAATCCCTTTCCCAAAGGGACCAAGGTGTATGAGCTGTCTGCTGTAACACATTATAACTGCGGATGAATGTATTGCCTGGCTTATGTGGCCTGTGATCGTGGGATGTACCTGCCTGTAGCAGGGATTGAGTAAAACGCAACAGTTCTGGCATTGAAGCAGGTTGCTTCCTGCCTGCAACCAAGCAAAAGTTTTGCAGACCGTAAATTAATCCCTCTTTAATCAGCTGGGAATTTCAGAGGTGCTTAAGAGCTGCCTGTTAGGCACGTTTGAAAATACCAGTTTTCTATATCACACTTCCTGTGTAGAGTCTGTTGCATTCTTCCAGCTTGCTTTCTTTCTCATGATGGAAGTGCTAGGGAGTAGCAGTAATTGCTAGGTATCTTTGATAGGAACCATACAGCTCGGATCAAATAGTATAACTTAGTTTAAATAACTTCAAATACCTACAGTAATGGCAAGGATGCCCACACAGCTCTGCTGGGGCTGTCTGTCTTGTCCAACTTCTCTCTTGTGGAACTGCTATTTTTATACCCTTAAATCCTGTGCTAATTTGGATTTCCCTTTCACTCTGTGCCTCCTTCCTAAATGGCACTACATGATGCAATTTGCATTTATCTTCTTTGGTAGGAACGAGGTTAATTAAGGGGACAATTAGAAAAGCTCATTAAAACCACATTTGCTTTCAGTGTACCTGATAATGGAGCTTTCTGTGGCAACTTCAGGGGAAACTTTTGCTTTTTCCCGGTTTCTCGACAACACGGTTCCCTGTATCAGTGGATGCCTGGTGACTTGAGGCAGCATCTTGGGCTGTGCTGAGGCTTGTCACCGTGTCTGCGTTATCGAGTTGTTGTGACAGAGGCTCAAACACCAACACAAGCCCCGTCCCCTGCAAGAGGAGCGGTTCTGCAGGAACTTGCACCCTGGCTTTGGCATTAGGGTAACTTCTTGCATCCCCTGTTGTTTTTTGATAGTCAGTGAATAGTTTCTGTGCCCAGCTGCACCCTGTCTGTTATGAGCAAGAGTTTGGGAGCTATTGCAGTTAAAAAAGGCAGGGTGAGCAGAAACCCTAGCACAGAGCAGGCTCCCCAGGCTGCACAACACTCGCGTGCACCCCACAGATTTATTTTTTCCAGTCTGATTCCTTCCCAAGTGGCCACGCATGTGCTTGCTGGCACAATATGCTCAATCTGGCCATACATCCCGGGTCCTGCCGCAGCAGACAGAAGAGCTTGTCTTTCTGCAAGCGAAATCAGAGCGGCCAACAAACTGTTCGCTCGTGCAGCCGCCCAGGCACTCGGCTCCTGCTCCCGGGTCCGAGGCTGCTGGTGGCTCTGGGGAGACCCTCAAGGAAACGCAACGTTAGATGGGGCCTTTTCTGCCCGCGTGTTTGAAGGGTTGTGGGAGACGATCAGCAGGTTGGCATCGCACAGCGGCACTGTGTGCAACGAGAATTAGTTTTTCCCTTCACTCACATATTGAAAAATGCTGGCACCTGGCATTGCAGCGGGGACTTGCATCGGCCTGTGAAAGAAAGCTTAATTTCCCCAGTAAGGGATTGAAAAATGACTACACTTTGCTCTTACTGTATTGAGTCTCGGTCCAGGTAATGCTCAAGTGTGAATGGATGTGTTCTGTTTTTTTTTTTCTATAAGCTGAAAATCCCAGACTTGTGTTTCAACGGTCTTGTTTCAGGTTCATCCTAGTTTTGTGTCCGCTCCTAATAGGTGCTGCAGGATGCGGCCGCTCTGCTGCTTTGAATCACGCTCTCCTGTGGAGTCTGCAGGGAACCCTCTTTAGGAGGGTTAAGTAAACATGATTAGGCTGCATTGCCAGCAATGATGTTCTTATTTAATGCATTAATGAGTGCAGGTGGCAGGACCTCTAAAGGGAATTAGATGCAATGCAAACTGCACAGAGCAGAGCCCTTGCGATTCCGATGTGCCAAACGCTGAGCAAGCTCATCTGGGAGACGAGAGGGGAATGAGCTGCCCGTGCCTGAATGACAATTTTGTGCTTCTCATGGCAGGTTTCTGAGCGTTACCTTCCTGCAGAACTGGGTCCTGCTACACTCGGAGCAAGCGCCCATGTTCTTGGAGCAGCACTGGCAGGTTTCCCTCATCTCCATCAATAGCAGCCTTGGGATAAGTTAGTCACGAACCCCAGTTTGGGAACCTGTCACCTTATTCTGTTACCTGGCAGGATTCGGTAATGCTGGTTGGAGGAATTGGGTCCTGGCCACGTTGGCTGCTGCAGCGCGAGGATAAAGCTGCTCTTTTCTCCGATTCCCCTCTATAGGCAGGCTTGTGGAAAGGAGCAGAATTACTGTGCTCCGATGGCCTTTCCCACAGTGAAACCTGGTTTTTATTTCCTGCTTCTTTAACCTTAGTAACAGCAAAATGAGCCCAGGGAAGCCTGTATTGATTGCACATTATTGTCTAATTAGAGTGCAGTAAGGCAGAGGTGTCGAGCGCTCGCTTTTACAGCCCTGTTCCGATTGCAGACACTATAAATTAGAGGCTCTCTGGTCAAATATAGAAAATGTCAGTGCTTGTTTCCTTCTGAATTTTCCAGCATCTCTCGAAGACGACACTTAGATCTGCAGTTAAAAAAGCTGTAGATAACAATTGGTAAGAAATAGGTCCTAAAGGCTTGTCGGGCCCGTTTCTGACCGTGCTAGCTGTAACCTCTGCTGTCTAATGGGAGGTACTTTTCAAAAAACGGATTTTAATCCAAAACCTGCTAGATGACCCTTTAGCAGCATGTGCAGAGATACAAACAGGCTCCAGTTATGCAATATGTTCATGCTGGTTTGTAAATAGTGCTGTCTTGTCCATCTGGAGGCTGGTTGTTGCTCCAGTGGGTCTTTATGTTTCTTTAGATCCACGGTGCTTGTGGTTTGGTGCTTTCTAGAAACTGGTACCTTCCTGAGCAAGTTATTTGCAGTGTGCTAATAAAGGATAAAGCCTAGTCTTTGCAATAGCAGGAACCCAGGAGCTGATTGCTGCAGTTCTGCATCTTGCTTAGTTGGTGATGGAACATGTGGCTGATGGGGAAATCGCTTGTCCTGCCCAAACCTTGCGCCTGGAGTCGCTGTGTTATGTACGTGTGCAGAGATGCAGGAACACTGGCCCCAAAGATGCTTTAGAGAAAGGTCTGAATGAATTAATGCTACACCTACTCCAAAATGCATTTTATGTGTGTTTGTATATATCCTGTGTGACACTGAACTTTCCTTTTTCTTTCCTGTCCAGGTGCACTTTTCGATTCCCTAGCACGGTTATAAAAATCCAGTTCACGTCTTTATACCATAAAGAGGAAGCAAAAGAGGAAGCTTCGTCGCCTCCCCTTCGGCCGCTTTACCCTCAAATATCACCTCTGAAGATCCACATTCCGGAGCCGGATCTCCGGAGCGTGGTCAGCCCCCTCCCGTCCCCCACAGGCACTATCAGGTAAGGCGGTGACCAGGCCCAGGATGGTGTCTGGGGAATCGCGTGGTCTTCCTCAGTGTCCTCCCACACCAGGGTTTATCAGCCCCTGTGGTTTGTCCAGTTTCCTCGATGCGGGAAATGTCCACTTGAAAATGCACCTTGGTAAATACCTGCTGTTCAGGGCGATGGGAGATGGCTGGAAGAGCTTTGGGGGTGGTGGCCAAAAGTCGGGAACAGGGGGTTTTGCTTAAGAGCTCCAATGACAAGGAGGAAAAAAACCCATGAATCTTAAAGAATAGAGAATAGCTCCACAGAATGAAACAATTTCTGCCACTTAATTAGAAGTATCTCTCATCACCATCTCTCTGCATGCAGAAAGAAGGTATTTGCCTGCTTTTTTATGCTAGGACTGCCTGCTTTATTTTTATCTCAATTGTATTCCGCTCGTGCTGGGTGGTGCTGTCACTATCTGGAACTAGGGCCAAGGGTAGCCGTCGGCATGCAGTTTTCTGGGAATAGAAGGAAGCAGGGGTCGGCTGTGCCTGTACAGCGAGGGGCTGCAGCAATCAGAGTGTGTATCTGGGCAAATATCCTGTTTTGTAGACTAGCTGATTCGTGCATGTGCAATAGAAACAAGCTGAACATCAAGTGACCGTCCCAAATATTTTTCTTCCCCTCCTTAACGAAGAGTTTATGTATCAGAGCTGCGGTGATCTCACGTAAGACCTTGCTCACAGTAGAGCCCACTTTATTTGCAAAATATAGCAAAGTTCATTCGCAGGAGTAGGACAATACAATTTGGGTGTCGCAACTTAAAAATTAAGTGCTCGGTAACAGCCTGTGTTTTGTTTCCTTACCCATGCATTTGTCAGACACAAACAGCTCGAATGCAAAACATCTCCTGGTAGGTAGCAGTAATTTACCGAGTAGTTTGGAAACGTGGATGGCTGCGAATGACTCGAGCGGGGCTGGGGAGGCAGCCTGGTTTTGCATAGCACGAGGGGCGGCGGCGCGGCGAGTTTTCCCCGCGCCCTTGCAGCGCCGCACAGATGTTCGCGCGGATATTCTAGAAAGAGGGGGCCGGCGGGAGCTGCGGTTGCAGCCCTCTGTTCAGGCACTGCTTTTCGTTTATATTTAACCTTCTCTTTTTAGATGAAGCCTGTTGCTGGGAGGGGAGGGGGAAGGTTTCTTTGCCAACATATGGTAGCTAGTTTCCATTCAGTCATCTCGCAGTGCGGTTTGTGTTCCTAGCAGCGGCTGCAGCCTTCAGCGCGGGCAGATGCCTGCGAGTGTCATTCGACTCCCGGGGAGGGTCTCTCTTTGCGCAGGGAGAAAGTGGAAATGGTGCCGCTTTGCTCGGGCCCGGCGCGGTGTTTACTGGAGATGATTAATGGCTGCATCTGTTTGTCTCGAGCAGGAGCAAATCCAGCAGAGTCTTTGGGAAACTTTGGAAGACTTGGGAGCTTGGCCTGCCAGATCCCGCTGGTTGTGGAGCTGCTCTCGCAGAGGAGAGGCCCACGCGCTTGTAAACACTCCGGCCTTCCCCGTGCACAAGGGGGGCCCCCATCCTGCCCTCCTGCACTGGGACCTTCTCCGTGGAGCAGCACAATACACGGGGACAGCTCAGTGGCCCTGCAGGGTCCCCGCTGTCCCCTCTTGCAGGGCAGGGACCCCGTGGCCTCCCCCCGTCCGGAGTGCGGGAGGCGCTTTCGGAGCTCCCCTCCTCCTCCTGCCTCTCCCCCGGCCAGTATTTACTTTCCTAATTTGGTGCGTTTGCCTCGCTCCTCCCTGATTGGCCCATGGAAAATTATTGCAGTTTGGAAATCCTGGGCTGGGTTAAATTTCCTTTTTGGAAAGTGTTCCCTGTTTCCCCCCCTTCCCTTTTTCCTGCCTCCACCCTAGCATGGGGGGGTTCTACCTGCACCCTGTGCGTGCCCTGTCCCGGGTTGCACTGCAGCTTTTTCCCTGCTGCTCCCTGCTGCCAGTTTCAGCTTTTGGGGGGTGTTTTTTCCTTTTTTCTTCTTTTCCCAACCCCTCCTGCCTATTTATTTTCCCCTTTGAGAAGTGCCCTGCCTAGAGAGGGGGAATGAGCTGTAGTTAAACAAACCCAAACCTGCCGCCCTCAGCAGCTTTGCGGAGCAGGAATCCTGCCGGCTCCTGCTCAGGAGAAATGTTTCCACTGTTTTCTTGGCCGGGTGCTTTATCTCCAGGAGTGGCCCACGGTGGATGTGTGTGTCCAGGGCTGTTGTGTGCAGCTTTCGGGAGAAACATGCGCTGGCGGCCGAGCTCGCAGGAGGCCAACGCGCAGGCCCGGCCTGTTGCTTCCTGCCTCGAGTTCAAAATTCCTTGTTTAAAAAAAAAAGTTGGATTTGCTTGTTCCGAAAGGAAGAGGCCTCTATAGTTACAAGAAAATAGTAGGAGCCGCCTGTCTGTTTTGTACACAAAGGAAAGGCAGACAGCGCCTGGATTCAAGCATATGTCTGTCTTTATTCAAGGCCTTAAAAAGGGGGCTCAAAACCATGAGTATGTAGCTAAATTCAGTTCTGTCCACTGAGAAATACACTCGATGCCTGTAATAAATATCAGGAGCCAACAGGACGGTCTTTTGGTGGTAGATTCCAACTTTGCAGCTCGTTCTGGGACCATCTTCTTTTCCTACCCCCTTCCTGATAACTTCAATTTTCTGTTCTGAATTTTGCCTGAGTTTGCTGTGAGTCCATTCTGCCTGTGTGGGTGCAACTGGATGTATTTATTGTAATCCTGTCCCAAGGATGGGTGGTGTTTGGAGCATAAACAGATCCACCGAGTCGGGGTGAGCTGCAGGAGCTCGTTCCTGGGCTCCAAATTCTGCTGAGTTGCAGCTGAGATTTACAGTGTTTAGTTTTTCTCTTTTACCATGTATTCATTGGTAAAGACCCTGTAGTGGTAACATAACTGTTCTCCAAAAGATATCTTTCTCCAATAATGCCCTTCAGGGTTGTATGGGGTTTTTGTTTTGTTTTTTTAATGTTGCTGAAAATGAAACTCTTTCTCCTGTATGCTTCCCTATTCCAAATAATAGTAGTAATGTTCTTGCTGATAAAAATACTATAACAAAGAACGACCAAATGCTGCACCGTGGAGGTCAGTATCATCATTCACATTTTACAGCTGCTACTTCTGGCTTATCTTTGCACCAGAATGACTGTAGGCTCAAACACTTTGTCTTGTACTTGTTTGTTTTTGCTGCTGAAAGGGCATGGATAGCTAGCTCATATTTACAGTCTTTATCAGCAAGAAAAATGTCTTTGACATGTAGGAGGAAGAGCCTTTAGAGCCTGCTGAGGAGCTCTGTTGAGAAGTGCCTGGCGAGGTTCTGTGCTAGTTTAAACTGAAACATATTTTTGTGTGGTCTCAAATCTATTTTCTAAACAGCTGTTAGTGCTTAATGTGCCTGCCCCATTGCAGAACGATCGATTCCTCATGTACAGTGAAATTATTGATAGGAAAAATGGAAGATAAGAAAGTCCACGTTTTTATCTTTATAGGTTTGGTTAGTAAAACGGAATGTGTGAGCTGAATTGGCAGATCTGCAGAAGTTATAAAAGTTTTTATGCACTTTTCTTTCTCCCACTCCATGTATTTTCACAGGGCAAATTGACTTTGGTAACGTGCTTCGTACAGTGGCAGCACAGAGGCCGTGCAGGGGCCGACGCTTCAGGAGCTGGAGCTGTCTTGGCTCAGCCAGCAGCTTGTTTTGTGGCTTTTGACAAGTCCTTCAAATTCCTCGTCTGCTTTTATGCACGGGTGGTGTGTGCTGTAATAGCTACCCTCTCAGAGCGTGTAGTAGATCAATTATGCATTGTGCTCTGATTCTCCGCAGCGCTTCGGAAGGGATGGATATGTATTGTGAGGCATGTTGGGTTACACGTGTGCAAACACGAGGCGTGCTTCACTCCAGACCTGGCTTCGTGAAGACAAGGTGCTTTTTGTTGGGATCTAGGTTGGCTTTCCAGCACCATTTCACATCCCTCGGGATTTTATCTGCATGATTCCTGGGGATTTTATCGTTTATTCTTGAAGGCGTCCAAGTGAAAAGCTGAGGGAACCATCAGCCGCCAGAACGGGATGCATAAATACCATCTCCTCCATCTCATTCAGCTTTTTCTTCTTCCTATAGCACCTATTAGCCGTTTAACTGGAACACCAGCAGAGCTCCAAGGCAGGCTTTTTGCGGGCTCCTTTGCATCGTCTGGGTTATCCATTACTTCCTGGAGCCAGGCAGCACATTCTGCGCCGGTAACTCCCACAGTCGGAGCGAAGGGTGATTATTTTTAATCACCCTTGTCTGCAAACCACAAGCCAACGGGTGTAATGCATATCCATCACATAAGAAAGGCAGCAAATCCGTACGAGGCTTGGGAATTCCTGCGCGCATTCGTTTCAGATGATGGAGCGTGTGCTGGAGGGGACGTGCCAAGCCGTGGGCTGCAGGACAACTTGCAGATGTCACCAGCTACACGAGCACTTCCTCTTCCCTCCGCTTCCCCTGCTTGGGGCTGGCACAAAGCGCTCCCAGAATCCGCAGGCTGAGCTCACTTCCCTTCTCCAGCAGGAACCACCGGAGCAGAGGCAGCAGGAACCATTTGAGCCTCTGCGGATAGTTAACTTTCTCGCGCTGCGGCTTATTCGACAGCCTGGTTTTTCTTCGGCATTAGGCAAGCTGAGCAGCTCTCGGATTTCTCCTTTCACATCAAAATCCAGCTCGCTTTGGCAGTCGCAGCACCTGTGATTGCTCCTGAAACTTGCCCGAAACGTGCAACGTGCAAGGACTTGCCTCGCTTTGAGTTGCATTTTTTGGGGCTAGGCTGAGGAAGGCAAGTAGCAGAGGATTCTCTCCCATCCTTTCTCATTGGTGTGTCGTGGAAGTGCTGGTTTCGCAAGCCCAAGTACTTTGACCTGATTTGTGCTTATTGCACACAAGAGAAAAAAAGGTCCCTCTTTGTCTTTTGGTGCCCCTTGTGCAGGGGAAGTCCAGACAAATTTGTAGTATTTCTCTAAAGTTCTCCTGCTTTGCAGGAAAGAACAGTCTCTCAGTTTGCATTTGGGGAGGAGGCTTTTGGGGAAGATTTTGTTAAGAAATGAGGATTCTCCCTTTGAACTGAATGGGTTCAAAAAAAAAAAAAAAAAGCCTGCTCCAACAGGAATCTGTATTTTGGCAGTATTGCCAAGACAGTAACTCTTATCACGACCGTGTCTTTTGTGCTTGGTGTGCAAACAGGCATTAGACATTTTTCTGAAGATACTGTCCATACATACAATATCCTGAACCACAAAATTGGAGATTTTTTCCCTCCTTTTTATTATTTCAGGTTTCAAGTCAGGCAGACGGCTTTTTTGTGGGATCTGAGGTCATTTTTCCTCTTTGTCACAGGCAAGATAGGTACTTTATCCATACACCTGCCTTGAATTGCACCTCTCCAGCTTGAGCCCTGCAGATGCCTTCTGGTGGTGAAGAGTGGAGTTAAGTAATGGGGCGAGTTTCCTGCGTTCCCTAAGTGCCGCTCCTGGGGAAATTGGCAGTGGAATTTGGGAGCGTGTTCTGTTCTCAGCTTGTTCATAGACTTATATTATGACCATAAATCATTTAAGGACTTGTTTCACATCCACCTTCACCCCCTGTAAGCTGTGGCTAGTGTTGAGAGAGCTTGTTTAGGTATTTTACCTGTAAGAGCTCAGGCAACAGATCCATCTAGTCAAATATTCCGTCTCAGAGGGGGTCAATAGCAGGGGTCTTTGGGATGGTATAAAAAAATGGGAAGAACATAGTAATGCTGATTTTTATTCTGGCTGCCTCCACCAGTTTCTTGGATCAGGGACTCCTGACCTCCTGTCAAATAAAGCCCCTGATAGATTCCCTGTCCTCCTCCTCTCCCTGTATTTGTATAATGGCTTTCTGCGTTCACGCTTTCACAGGCTTTTAGCATCAGCCCTGTCCTACTGGGATGTAGTTAGGTGTTCACATAGTTGCATGTTCAGTAGAGGCACTTTTGTTTTGGACCTATCCCTTGAGTTTCATTTTGTATGCAGTGGTGCTTGCATTGGAAGAGACACCAGGAGCTAAACATCTTCTCTGTTGCTCGTCTCTCTGTAAGTTTCTGTAAGTTTTTGTCACAGTGCACCTCAGTTCTGTGCTTTAAAATGTTTCACCTATGGAATCTGTTCCATTTCTCCGATCATCCCAGTTACCCTAATCTGTGCTTTCTCTGGCTCCACTGTATCCTCTTTAAGAGAAGAGAGGAAACAGAACAGCACACCAATGCTAGATACGGACGCTGCGTGCATACAGTGACACATCCTGTTTTAGCTAATGTAAACCACTTCTTGACATTACAGCAGAAAAGCAGTAAGTTGTAAATCTTTTCCAACAGCTGATATTTAAAGACTTATTAGTTGCTAGAAAGTGCTGTGACCTTAAGAGACTAGATTCATGTTGGCAGGAGTTGAAAGTGAATTATGATGCTGCAAGACTTGTTAAACTCTTCAACAGCCAGAAATAAGCTCTGCGTTTAAAACGTGTTCTACCCTTTGCAAGGATGAATATATTGCAGATGCCGCGTTCAGTCCTTGCCTTTCTGGCCTTACAACTCTGGATGGGTTAAGTATTAAATGGAAATTGTGTTGCAAAGGACTGATGTGATTCAGCACATGAGCGTAGCCTGATTCTGAAGCCTGTGTGTGAGTCTCAGGGTGAGGTTTGGGGAGCTGTGGCTCTGAATCCAAAGCGGATATCAAAGATCCCTGCAAGACTTGAGGCATTAGCTGTGGTGCCACAGCCAAATTCTGGGGTTTAGATTGTGGTAACCGCAGCTGCTTTGCCTGTGTGCTGTGTTTTTTCTCAATGGGAGAAAACATCAGCTTCCTCCCTAAAGTGCTGTCTTCTCTAATGAACAAATTTCACCCAGATTAGCCTGACTTTCTTGTAAGCTAAGAGCCCTTGCATGGGCAGCAAGCCTGGAGCAGAGCCTCGAGTCCTGTGGGTGTCTGAGAGCAGGATGAAATTGCCTATTTATCTGTAGCTTTTATCAGCAAAAGGTTATAGTATTAAAATAGATCAAGTTATCTCTCAAACTGTTGATGTAATAGTTATATGCAACACATTGTAATCATTGTCCTCACATTTACTGCATTGGTTTTATGGTACACACAGGTGTTTGCAGGGGAAAAGTCTTTGTTCCATAATATTTTTAAAGGGGGTGTGAATACATGCAAGCTTCCCCGGCCAGCCCTGTGCTGGGTGCCGAGGAGAATTCCAGGAACTCCAGGAAATTGATGTCACCTCATTGTGTTTGCTTGTTTTCTTTAAGCTGCACCAATGTTTAATTTTAACTTAACCCTCAGAAGGGTATTTTTAGTCAAACAGTTTCTTTACTCCTCCTTCCCCTCTAATTTTTGGGGAAAGGGATAATCCGAGTGGGAGGGAGGGAACAGATTCTGTCTCCTTGCTTTTTCTCAGCAGTCAGCAACTTTTCTTATGTCCCTGCTAAAAGCTCTCCGGTGATGGACCGAGAGCTCAGCATGGAGCAGCTGAAAGTTCTTCTTGTTCATTCTGTATCTGTGACTCTTGATCCTTAATCCAAACTGAAAGCAGTAGGAATACCTGGATGGAAGTGCTGCATTGTGCTAAATGCAAGATACCACTCCCAAACCTTCAAAAAATGCTGTGGGACTGTTGCTTCATTAGGAGAGGATCAGGTTCTTCAGCAGTGCTCCATTAGGAGAGACCAGCTCGTTTTGTAAAAGTTAGCAAAACTTCAGGTCGAGGAGGTTTGTCGGCACTCTCATGGAATCACAGCCCTGCAGGCTGTTGCTGGGTTTGCTTTCCCTTCCTTAAATCATTATCAACTGCAGAAACTCAGGTTCGAACAGTTAAAAGCTGGTTGCTTCCTCTGCTCATCTTGAAGAATGGGCTCAGTGTTTGTGTGAGCTGTGTTGGGGCAATCTTAGAAGCCAACCTCATTTTAGACATTCAAAGAAATACAGCCTGGTGAGTGACTGGAGGTGCTGGAGAACTTTTCCATATCCTTGACCTGAACCTTGGCTGCTGTGTTTGTGGTTTGTGTCATCGTATTTCTGCAGATGCTGAAGAACAAAACGGGCAAATTCTGTTTCATCCTATTCCATTCCCTGGCCATGTGTTACAGTAGTTGCTCGGCTGCCAAATACAAAGATAAAAGGAGTTGTTTTTAGTTTGCCACTGTTTCATGTATGAGAATTATTTTCACTTGTAGTTATCCACTACTGTAGTTATCCATAAGTGTGTTTATGGAGTGCTCATACAAGTGTGTGCTGTTGAGAAATGACAGACAGACACATAATTAAATTCCTGCTACGTCCCCACATGAATACTAAGACAGCAAGAGTTCCTTCTGCTCTTTGGCATTACCCACTTCCACAGAGGGCTGCCAGTGTGCAGCAGCCCATTTTGGTTTCCTTCCCTGCACATACAAGTCTCCACGCTCTGAAAGACTAGGTGAGAAATTCGTTTACATCTAACAGGGGAGGTTTTTACGTATGGACCCACCAACATGTTGTGCTTCAGCCTCCTGAAGCTTCAGCTGCTCTTGCTTCTGAAGCGTGTCCCGGTTGTTGTACAGGGGTGTCGGTGGGTGCAGGATTTTCAGAGGGGGCTGCCAGGGTACCTGGGGCCATGCAGGGTTTCGCATGGCTCCAAACACCTGCTCGTCCGTGTAATTTTTTTTTAATTATTATCACTATCACCATTATCACCATGCTGTGATGAGCGTCAATTTGTTGCCTTTCTTATTGTACCAAGTTTAGCACTGCTGTTGTGGATTCTTTATGCCAATTTTACTGAATTCTCATTCCCAGCTGCAGGCTTCAGTTTGCATCTCCTCGTGCCACTGTGCTGCTGGTGTTGCTATGTAAATCTGGAGCGTGTTTTGCTCTCTCGTTCCTTGTTCCCTCCTTACGGAGAGGCTGGACATGATCCCGTGAACTGACTCTGTGGCGTGTCCCCCTGGCTCTGCAGCCCTCAGCGCAGTGCAGGAGGGAGGAAACACCAAAATGTGGGACTTTGCTTGCCCGGCTTGTCCCGCTCCCCTGTCCTTCGTACCCCGCAGACCAGGGCTGCGTGATCCCCAGACAAGTCTTGCTGATTAGTTCTCATCTTGCAGCACTTGTTTGTGTGTGCCCGAGCCATGCGCAGCCTTTTATTCGTTTGGAGCTTTTTCCCAGTGGCTCTCCCGCTCCGTAGTCGTTCCTGTGATGCCATCATGTGGCCGTCTACAGCTCCAGAAATGGCTCTTCCCCTCGTTAACCAGCGCTGGGGAGAGGAGCTGCCTCCTGCATCGTGGTTGGGGCTCCCTTGGGTTCACTGCATGGGGACATGGAGGACATGCCCGGCTCTGGCAGGGAGATGTTAATCCTGGGGTGACACTGGGGCTTCCGAAGCCCCTGTTAGACGGGAACCCTCGTGGCAGGTGACACGGGTGGGTGTTTTACCTGTGATGCTGCACATAGCCCTTGTTTTTTAGAAAAATTGCATAAACATTGTTAGTATCATAAGGAGGATGGTGCTTTATCAGCTTTACATCTGCAAGTTTTTTTTTAAGTAAATATAGAATTCATCGCCGATACGGTGTTATGTGTGGGGTTTTTTTTGTTTTGTTTTGTTTTCCTCAGTGAAGCCCTATGTATAGGGAAGATGTTTAATTCTTTAGGGTTATGTGGTGATTGCAGAAGGTGACTGGGGTCAGAACTCTTAGGAATTCTGTTTTGTCACTGTTTTTGTTGTTTGTTTCGGTGGTTTTTTTTCCTCTCTTCGCTCTTTTCAGTCTTTCTGTGCTTTGGATAAGCTACAGTAAAAACCCCACCTGCTTCTCAGTGACCTGGAAGCTCTATTGCAGCTTAGGTGTAAGAATTGTGTACCTTATTAATAAATGAAGTCATGAATACCTGTCATTCTTTTTTGCCTCTGCAGTGTTCCCAACTCTTGCCCGGCCAGTCCACGTGGTGCTGGATCCTCAGGATATCGTTTTGTTCACAACATTACCTCGGATCTGCAGCTGGCAGCAGAATACGCCGCAAAAGCAGCATCAGAACAGCAGGCAGATGCATCTGGCGGGGACAGCCCAAAGGTTCAGAGAAACATTTCTTACCCAGCAGTGTTCACTGGGAGGCTTATTAAGACCTTGCAGTTTACTGCCAGTGCTGGATATAGTTAAATGGGTCTAAGGAAACCCTGGCAATAAGGGTGCTATATTTCCTATCACCCAGGGTTTCACACCAATGCTCTCACACAGTCTTTGGTAGCAGGTGATGGATCTGCTTGCTTAGCTGCTGAAATATATTTAAGTCATTCTCTAAAAGTGTTATGCTAAAGGAATTTGTCTTGCTTGTTTGATAAATCAGAAGCTATAAAGAGCATTAAAATTCAGAGTCTTGTTTTATTCTTTTAATTAATAGTATTTTACAAAAGGCAGTTGGGGAAAGGAGGAGCAGGGGGAGAAACAGGATCCTCACCTTTACTTTAAAACAATGGCCTGTCAACCAAGCATTAGATGAGAAGAGTATCAAGCATAATTCAGATAAAAATAACCGTGTTGTAATGATAAAATTTAATTTTGGCAAGCTGATCTTCAGATGAAAGTGGAAGGTCCAGATCCAAAACCACCTGATTTGGGATAGGGTGGAGGAGCACAGCACGAGGTGGCTTTTTTGTAGGTTGAATTTTCCCTTGAGACAAGAAGGACTATTCTTGATGGAGTAATATGAAGAGCTGGCATTGTGAGACCTGGCACTCGAGTTAAAGCTCCTAGAATGAAACAAATTCTGCTGGAGAGGGTAGGGAACAGGATCAGGTTTCCTATTGGGCTTGTTGCTGGGAGGAGAGCTGGCAGCACATTTCCTTGAAGTCTTCCACAAAGTTCAGTTGCACCTGGGTAGAATCTAAGACTTTAGCTTTAGGAACACGGACAGCAGTGGATGCACCCTACAGCCTCCAGCTCTGCCTCTCTTCCAGTTGCTGGTCGTGGTTCTGCCCCT